GTACCTAGATTTTTCTACCAGACTAACTTTCAATGAACAAAAAATACTTTTTATAAAATGACTTTTTATACAATGATGTTCCCTTAATAACGTCAGCATTCATACTACAAATAAATCCCAGAAAGATTAGTAATTTCATCCAGTTACAGAGAAATGAACTGGCAGGGCTGTCAATTCTTCCTTGGAACTGCTTCAGATTATTACTGGAAGTATCATTAGCTTTTCTGGAGAGAATAAGAACATTTGAGGATACAATGTTTTTAATTCTTTCCACCATTCGAAATCATAAATATGCACTAAGAATGGTCAACAAGCTGGTAGAGGGCTGTAGGAGCAGGTTTTGTGTTGGCACTTATTTAAGTTTTGGAAAAGTTTCAACCTTCCAAATCAAGCCTTTTCAAAAACAACAACAACAACAACACAGTTTATTGTAGCTTAAGGAAATTCAGATATAGGGGTCCTTAGCCTTTTTTTGGTTTTACACTTCTATTGCCAATAAACTTGCCAGACAAAAAAATACTAAAATATATGTGTCCCTGCATATTTCAGCATTTGGCAAACTAAGGTTCATGAGCCTAATCTTGCCCAGCAAGCTGGAACCTTTTTAATCATTGTTTCTCCAATGCTTAGAGCATGGAGATCTGGTACTGAGTAGATGCTTAATAAGTCTTTGAAGAAATAAATGAATAGAAGTATGAATTCTAATTATAGTTGCTGCAGTCAAATGTCTGTGATGCCAGCTGTGATCCAGCAGAAAGACTTAACATATTCTAGGCAGAGATAGAATTGTAGAACTTTAAACTGGAAGAAACTAAACTATTTGATCCAAGTTATCCAAGGTCCAGTATAGTAACAGAACTGGGACCAGTACTCTGACTATTGCTCTGATTCGTTATTTGTTATATCTAGTTCTTCCTACTAAAACTAGGTCATTTCACAGAGGAATTTTAGAGCAATGAAATACTCTGTGTGATACTATAATGGTAGACACATTCTTTATATGTTTGTCCAAACCCATAGAGCGAATCCTAATCTAACATATAGACTCTGGATAATGATGTGTCAGTATAGGCTTTTCAGCTATAACAAATGTACCACTTTGGTGGCAAGTGTTGTTGACAGGGGAAGCTATACATGGGGTGGGCAGGAGGTATGTGGAAATCTCTGTACCTTCCACTCAATTGTGCTTTGACCCTAAAACTACTCTAATAAATAAAGTCTTTTTAAAATAATAAAAAGGCTCGGTGCCCATAACACAGTGGTTATGGCAACAGCCACATACACCAGGTTTGAGCCTGGCCAGGGCCAGCTAAACAACAATGGCAACTGCAACAAAAAATGGCCAGATATTGTAGCAGGTCCCTGTAGTCCCAGCTACTTGGGAGGCTGAGGCAAGAGAATCTCTTAAGCCCAAGAGTTTGAGGTTGCCATGAGCTGTGACACCATGGCACTCTACCAGGGGCAACATAGTGAGACTCTGTCTCAAACATAAATAAATAAAAAATAATCACTAAAATAACAAAATAACAATAAAACAAAAACAATGAAAAAACTTGTCATCTAATAAGGAAAGTTGTCTGTTCCAACAACATATGAGATGAGGCCAGAGAGAAATGTCAGAAAGCATGCCGATGTACTCAGAGTCTC